TTGAGAAAATTTATTTTGAAAGATTAATAAAATTTAAAGCTTAAAAAATTAAATCAGTATTTTGAATATTAAAATATTTGAGTCAGAGAGCTAATCTCAAAAGATAGAAGTTGAAATGCTGCTGGAAAGTGTTGAGTTGGAGGGAAGAAAAAACAATCCAAGCCTCTATTATATAGTCTCTTCATTAAAACACCATAGGATTCACTCCTTTGTTTCACAGCACTGTGTATAATTATAGTACACAAAACCGCCAGATCTTCCTGTGATTAGGCATTTAAAAATATACATTCCAGATTTTCAAAACAAGTTTCACATGTAGGGTAATTCTATCACACGAATGTACAGTTCTTTTTTTTTTTTTTTTTTGAATGTACAGTTCTTGTATGTTCATATTGTGTTTATTATACCACTTTAAACATAGAGCATTTCTATTAGGGTTGGCTTAGTCATTTTCATAATGATACCCTGGGAATTCCCTAGTAGGGCAGTTCAGAGGTGCTAGACAGACACTTGACTTTGCAATACGTTCTAAAAGAGAAGTAAGAAAAACAGTTTCAGAACTACTGGACACCTGTCCCGCACACAGACACCTTTCGTTTTGGTAACATACACCCAGGCACTGCTGGATGCTGGCAGGTCACACGATGGACTGAGATTCAGAAGACCTGGGCTTCGGTGTGATCCCTTTGGTCTCCGACAAGGAGAGAACGCCACTCATTGTCATTAACTGCGGCAAAAGAATCACGAGAATAATTGTGAAAGCGACGTCCAAGTCATAAGGTTGGGGACCATAATGGGGCATTTTCAACTAGGGGTGCACATCTGAATAACCCGGGTGCCTTCCAAAATACAGGGGGGCCCCATGCCCAGATCAACTAGGTCAGAACCTCCTGGGATAGGCATCAGGAGTATACTTCTATTCTAAAGGCCCACAGATCCTTCTGATTTACTTGCCTTTTGACAAACTATGGAATGAATGCAAGACCATCAGCTTTCTAGAATGATGGACCCACACCAAATGCTTTCCAAATCTCTTAATAATGCTCTGACTTTGAAATACACATTGATTCATTGAGCCTCCGTTTCTCTAATTTGAAAATTGGAGATATAAACACTTCTTTGCATGGTTCTGGTGCAAAGATGTAGGTAAAACATCTAGGTCTGATGTCTGATAAGAAACCTAAACATCTGGGGTCTGATAAGTAACTTAAATACCTGCAGATCATAACACAGAAGGGTGTGTTGGATACCATGGCTAATTGGGGAATGCAAGCCTTAATGAAACATATTTTTTAACATTACTGTAAAGACTACCCTGGTCACATAAAACACATCTACAGGAATGACACCTGGCTTTTAGCCCTATCATACCATTCAATAAATAACCAATCCTCAAGTACCGTATATTAATTAAATGTAAGATATAAAATCCTGAATTGTCTGAAAGTATGTTTCTATATGCATGTGTGCTGCTAGATACAGGATTATATACTGATTCAACAAATATTCAGTGTTCATTATTTACTAATAAGTCCAGATAGAGATCCTTAAAAGAACTAGTTCAAAGAGTTTACCATCAAGAGAGAGAAAGGGAGAGAGGAAGATGATGAATTAAAGCATGTCCATGACTAACAATACTAACACTACCAAAACTATGCTTCCGTGTCTATTTCTGCATTAACGTTCTACCCAGGTATCTGTGACTATCTATACATACTTATACACAGGTTTTAAATATCACTAATGGCTAGAAATATTTGGAATTTTAAGTAATTATTTTTAGAAACAGTATATTTTAACTAGATCGATATGATAGTTTGTTGTGAAATAACAAGGCTTGCTGAATTAATCTCAGGTTCCTTCCAGGTTTAAGATTCTATAGTTAGAAAACAATAAATCACGGAATCATCACATAAGAGGAACCACTGACCAAATGACTCAGAGTCATTCTTAGAGCACTTCTTAACATATTTGGGGGAAAATTTTCATCATGTGAGATCGTCTCTCAACCTAAAAAGGACAAAACCAGGCAGCTTTCAGAGTGAGTTAAAATTGGACTTGCCCTGTCTTCATCACAGGTCCGCTTTTCTACACTCATCTAAAATCGGAGCAAAATAATTCTGCAAAGCCTACTGCTAGCATTTATTTCGAATCACTTTTTAGTGATTTGGGCAAGTTCCTCCTCTTAAGTTTTCATTTCCTCATCCTTAAAACGGTGACGACCAGAACTAAGTAAGACTTGTCACTGAAGACTCCAAAATCTGACTGGAATTCTCTCCCCTAGCCTCTCTTCCCCATTCCTCTCCTCTTTCTGCACAGGCTGCTCCAGCCAAAACTGACCGGTTATTACTCAAGCAGCGTCCTTCCCATCGGCATGCTTCAACCCCAGCCTTCTCCGAATCTCCAATTTCTACTCCATTTCCAGCCTTGGCAGCAATGTCGGCCCTTCTGGGAAACCTTTCCAGAATCTTTCTCAAAGAAAATGTTTGGGCTTTGGACTGAGTTAGACCCAAGATCATATCCGATCTTCATTTGCACTAGTTGTTTATTGGTGGATTCTTTTAAAACGTCAGCATCTGTATCTTGTCTGTAAACAAATTCCCAGACTACAGTGCTGCTAGGAGGCTAGATTGCACAAACAAGGAACACAGGTGCTAACAACAAGTCTCAAGCGCATCAGTGATCACTTCCTGTGTGATCATTCCTTCTAACTGCCTACTGGATCATTCTTTGGGAAAAACAATTTCAGCTGGATCCCTACTCTCATTCTTTACACAAAAATACATTTTAGATGAATCAAAATTTTAAATGTTAAGAAGTGAAACAACAATAACAATAGAATGGAAAGAAAGGACAGGTGAATTTACTGATCCTTTGGAGTGAAGGCTTTTCTAAGCAGGACACAATAATCAAAAGATTGTACAATAAAAAGACTGGTGATAACTAAATTAAAAATCTCAATATTCCTACAGCAAAAAAATAAAAATAAAAATTAAGTTATATCAAACTGATGAAGGGCTAACTTTCTTAACTTATAAAGAGTCCTTATGTATCAACAAGAAATGCTGCACATTCTAATAAAAATAGACAAGGAATTTGGTCAGGTAGCAAATACACATGACTAAATGTGTAAATGTGAAAAGATGTTCCATTTTGCTAATAAAGAAATATGCAAAGTGAAAGTCACTCAGTCATGTCCGACTCTTTGGGACCCCAAGGACTGCAGCCTGCCAGGCCCCTCTGTCCAGGGAATTCTCCAGGCAAGAATACTGGAGTGGGTAGCTGCTCTCTTCATTCCCTTCTCCAGTGGATCTTCCCAACCCAGGGATCGAACCCACATCTCCTGCATTGCAGGTGGAGTCTCTACTGCCTGAGCCACCAGGGAATTCCAAGAATACGGGAGTGGGTAGCTTATCCCTTCTCCAGGGGATCTTCCTGACCCAGGAATTGAACCGGGGTCTCCCGCATTAACAGGCAGATTCTTTACAAGCTGAGATGCCAGGAAAGCCCATAAAGAAATATAAATTAAAGCAAAGAGATAGTTTTTAACTTACTGTCAAGGTAAAAATGAAAAATATAACATCTGATGTTGGTAATGGTGTAGGGGCACAGTCCTTCTCATGCACTGTTTGGGGTACAAATTGGTGCTACTTCTGCTGTGTTCAAGTTAGCAAATTTTCTAAAATAAATAAAGGGACATTCCTTTGACTCACTACTCGCACTGCTAGAAATTTAGCTTAGAAATAAACTCAAGACCTATACTATAATAAGCTAGAGCCAGTTACAAAACTTTTTGTAATAGGGAAAAAAAAGTTAGTTAGTTGTTAATAGATGCCTGATAAATTGAGTTATAATGTATACCAAACATGGACTTCTACAGTTATGCATGACACGGATGAGGATATTTCTAACAATATTAAGTGGGAAAAAACTGATGTCATCTGTATGAATTTGAAATGTGGGAGTAGGGTGGGTTGAATATGTATCAATATACATATACAATGCAATTTTTATTTTTTAGAAAAATAATAAACTGAGAAGTGCTTACTTTTAGGGAGAGGAACTGTGTGGGGAGGAAGGGGATAGGTGGAATAGAGGGATATTTTTATTATATGCCTTTCTCAACCAGTCTATGGCCTGGATGTAGTAATCATAGCTGTATATTAATCTAAATTATATGTACATGGTAGACAGCTCATCCTTCGTGGGCGTTCGTTCTCAGCTTATCAGCCAAGACGACTAAAGGGGCCCAAAGTTTTGAGCACTGGATATAGTTTATTAACTAGGTTAAGAAATACAATTTACTATTGTATAGAAATTCAAACATTTTAGAAAGAAGGGCCTTCACACCAAAAGACTGGAACCATTGGTGATGGAGGGGGATAAAAATAAGACACATCTAACTATGATGGGAGCACCTTATTCTGTTGAAGGGGTAGGTGTGACTTTAAGAAAGATCTGTGATATTCCAACCCTACCTTGACAAGCGATCTGAAAATGTGGCGTCATACCTACCTTCAGTACCAAGAGCTGGAATGTTTCAAACATAGGCAGCACTTATCACTGCGAAGAGTGAGTGACCTGATCATGCTTACAAGTAAGTGAAATAAATAAATGAAATCTATTTTCCAACAGTGAAAATGTGGAACTATGTTCTTTCCTGGTGGCTCAGACGATAAAGAATCTGCCAGTAATATGGGAAACCTGGGTTTGATCCCCCGGAGAAGGCAATGGCCACCCACTCCAGTATTCTTGCCTGGAGAATCCCGTGGGCGGAGGAGCCTGGTGGCCACAGTCGATGGGATCGCAAAGAGTCTGGGGATGGAGTGACTCACACTAAGATAAGACACGCGCTTATCAGTTCTCAGGTCTGAATGCATTCAAACTTACAAACAACCGAAGTGGCCTTGAACTCCAGGCCAGCCTGACCCCCACCTGGAGCTCTTAGGGGTGGTTTGCAGTCACCCCAGGGAGGAGCAGGGGCCCCTCCTGTCACTCACGTCATGTATGTGAAAAAGGTGCTTAGCGGCTCCAAGGAGTGATTCCGGAAATACTCAAACTCTCTGCACAGCTTTTTCCTCATCTCCGTGTCAATAATGGAAACAGTAAGAGGAGCGGCTTGATTAGCCAAGAAGTTGCCATAATCGGTGGTCTGGAGATGAATTTTCAGATCTGAAATTAAGGAAAGCACCAGATCAGGCTAAATTTGGAACATGCATGAAAAAGCTTTACAACACTGACTGAATTTGCGGTAACTTTACGATAAATGCATATTTATGTACTGTTTATTATTTCTTTGGTTGCACTGGTCTTCGTTTCTGCCTGTGGACTCTCTAGTTGCGGTGACCTTTCTTGCCGCAGAGCACAGACAGGCTCTGGTGCACGAAGTTCGCTAGTCACAGCCCGTGGGCTCAGGAGTTGTGACTTGCAGGGCCCGGGGCTCGCAGGCTTCAGCAGTTGTGACTTAGGGGCTTAGCTGCTCCACAGCGTGTGGAATCTACCGGGACCAGGGATGGAACTCCTGTCTCCTGCACCGGCAGGTGAATTCTTATCCACTCTACCACCAGGGAAATCTCATAAACGCATATTTAATTATTGCTATCTTATTAGGCCTTAATATAAGATCTACATATGATTTAGACTTGAATGTTAATCTCTACAGCAATAAAAGATTCGATGTTAATGCAGATAATCAAAAATAACGTTTAATTACATAAGAACTATAGAATTATTGAGCACAGTTGAAAAGAATATTAGAAACCACCTAGTCCAGAGATTGCAAATTGGTTTTAACTGAGCCAATGTAGTCATTTGGAAATAGTGCTAGGAAAACTGTTGGAGGATACCAAGCCTCCATCCCAGCTTGATGGCAAAGAATATTTACCCTACAGATGAAGAAATTGAGTCTCCGTGTGTCTAAATGGGCTTTAACATTCAAAAAACAAAGATCATGGCATCCGGTCCCATCACTTCATCAATATCAATTTGAGAAATTGATTCAAAGCCAGTATTATACCTTAAAAAAAACCTGTATTTTATTACCAATCAATTAAATTAGATTATCAATTATTCTGTTACTTAATTCTGTCTGGTAGAATTACTTAACCTCACTCATCTGAATTTCAAAATACTTGGATAATACTTCTAGCACACCTCCTGTCTCGGGATATCACAAAGTCTTAATATGTTAACTCCAAAAGGGCAGTTCCAGTTTCTTAGTAATATCTTTTGGTTTCTTGTGTGGTACCCAACATAAGTGTCTCAAATATTTGAACATCAGAAATGTCTTTGGCACCATCTAGCACATGACTGAAGTCAATACAGTGTCCTAGACCTTATTGTAATTTTCACTGAAACATTTATTGAGTATCTATTATGTGCCGTTACCACAGCGGACAAGACATATTCCTCATCTTCAGGGAAACTCATAAGCTGGTGGAGGTAGAGGCATGAAAAAAGCAGATGATGCAACCCACTGAGCTCAGGATAAAGATAAGAACTTTGATTTATGGGAACACAGAAAATGACTCGATGGACATGGGTTTGGGTAAACTCCGGGAGTTGGTGATGGACAGGGAGGCCTGGCGTGCTGCAGTCCATGGGGTCACGAAGAGTCGGACACGACTGAGCGACTGAACTGAACTGAACTGAGAAAATGAGAGCAAGACTCAGAGGGATGAAAGCAAAACAAGCCTAGGAGAGTTTCCGGAAGAAGGTTAAGCCAGAGATGAGCCTTCAAGCGCTACGCAAGAGTGCAAGGAAGACGTTCCATGAATTCGTACAGGTGGGAGGAGGCAAGAAATTCAAAGCAGTTGAGTGCTGTTGAAGCGCTGGGTGGGAGAGGAGGAGGGGTAAGATGTGAAGCCAGAGAAAGACGCAGGGGCTGTCCCCAGGAAGACTTGGCGTGACATCCTTGATCCTGAGGATAACAGGGAGCCTCTGTGGGTGATGAGCTAATCCCTCTGGTAGCTGATGGGGGAGGGGGCATGTGCACTCAAGTGGTTCTTGAGTCTCAGCAGACAGGCATTCTTCAGGGTCTGGAGTAGATCATGCACCAGAAATGCTCTTCATCTGACTGACCACAGAATTTATTTGCTCAATTACCTATTTAATTAGCTTAATTTAAAAAAAAAGCATACTCTTTGCCATGTCTTGTTTGGCTTTTATTTTGACAGTTCAGATTTTTATACAATTTGACAGGGTGTAGTCTCAGCATAGAGAAATATTTGCCAACAGGAGTGACACAAATGGTATTTCTTCCAAAGCCATGATATATGGCTCATGTGACATATGTTTCTCTTAGGCAAAATAACTTCCAAACCTTTCAGCTGCCAGTGAGATGCTGAAATGAAATGTCTCAAGTGTTTCAGACCCTGCTTAGGCAATCTTGTAAAAAACTGTGGCTGGTGGACAGACAGTTAAGATAGAAGGAGCCTTGCCTCCCCACCCCAAGGTGATCCAAGGGACCCTTGAAATCCGATGCGAAGAAAATCTTGGCTTGAAATATCTGCTCTGAGTTAATATTATTATCTTTCAATGATAACGATCATGCTGATAGTTTTATAGTTTACAAACGGGGTCACATTTTTTTCCTCGCCATTTCCCCCAGTGCTTATCTAAGCACGTGTGCCTACGTGTTCAGTCGTGTCCGACTCTCTGCAATCCCACGGACTGCAGTCCATAGGATTCCTCTGTCCGTGGGACTTTTCCAGGCAAGAGTGGGTTGCCATTTCCTGCTCCAGGGGATCTCACCGACCCACGGGTAAAACTTGCATCTCCTGCATCTCCTACACTGGCTGGGTGATTCTCCCCGAGCCACCTGGGAAGCCATGCTTATCTTAATAGGTGTGTGATAAATAGAGCTTTGTGGTCAGATGCATTCGGAATAAACAGGCTTCTTCACTGCAGGAACTGAAAGCCTTTAATACATTCATTTGAATGATTTCTTTGGACAGAGTTTGGTACAGAACTTCCCAAGCCACTAGAAAACAATGCAGCCACCCCAGAGAGCACGCTTTGGAAAATTACACTTTTTTTATCCAGAGTCGTGTCGCAAGTGACACTTTTTCTTTTTTATTCAAATGAGGAACCATGAGATCACTGCCAACTAAATCAGTTTTACAGGTCCCAAACACAATAGCACAACGGGAACAGATTCAGCTATTATAAAAAATATCTGAGCATATCACACAGAGTATAATAGCATATATGCGTGTACAGAGTCATAATGTAAAAATGCTCCTTCCGTGGGCTGCAGTCAGTGGGCTCAGGGAATTAGCTGAGATCTCTTGACTAGTGAGGCAGGAACACTCTCTGGCTGCTATCTTTTCTCTCTTGCTTTGTTGGGTAGATCCTTTTTCGTTCCCTGCAGCTTCCTGTTGGAACTCTCTGAAAATGAACGTCCAGGCTGTTCACACTCCAGGTAGTCTATGCCAAGGCAGCACCTGTGCTTGTGAAGGATGCTATGTTTGAGCAGCCCCTGCCTCTTCTCCACACTCTGCCTGATGCTGCACTTAAGGGAATTACCTGACCTTTCAGAACTCAGTTTTCTCACCTACAAAATGGGTTAGAATGTATGCTTGGGGTTACTGCAGAGCTTTAAAGAAGATAATGTAGATGAAGGCCTCTTTCGCCTCCTTACGTGTACCTATTTCCTTCCAAAATAATTTGATTCGATTGGCTAAGACTTTGATTTTTATTCCCTAAATCAGACTTTTTTTAAACAATGTATTACCATACCTTACAGTTACTTAAATTTGAATAAACCTATCAGTATTTTAAAAGACAGATGCTTCTTTCTCCATTTTTGCTAAGGTACTGCCATCTCACAGTTATAAAACTTCAAGTCCTCTTTGAAGATTTATTAACTCCAAATCCCCTGCATTGTTTCTGAATATCTTCCCAGATTTCCTCTCCTTATACCCCAGTTTAGAATGATGATATCATAAACCTAGATCACTGTGGCAATCTCTAATAGATTCTCCCAGGTTTGTTTCTCTTCTGTCCTCCATGCCTCAAACTTTAATCTTTCCTAAGAAATGTTTGGATTTTAGAATGATCCTCTTAAGTACCCTGGAGCTACTGAATTTTAGGCAGATTAAAAGCAACTTGCAAATTACTTTTATTTTACCACTGACAGATGATTTTCACACACAATATAAGCCTTAACAATAATCCCCATTTCATAGATGAAGAAGCCAAGACTCAGAGAAACAACTTGACCATCTTTCCAAGCATACATGTATTTGACTGAAGGTTCGGACACACCTCTCTCTTCACTCAGTATTCTGAAGTTCCATAATTAGACCTTTGGTGGCCCTCGAAAATCTTCACAGCATAAACTCCTGTGTTATTGTAATACTCTAGTATTGTAGCAAACCACTTTATCCTACCATTATGCTTCTATGTTTTTCTATTTATAGCCCATTAATTCTCCCCAAGAGCCTAGGACATCTTATCATCTCAACTCCCCTGACCCCACCTCCAGTTCCCCATTCCACTGGCATTTTCCCAACCCACTGTCCTTCAAGATTCAGCTTACTTTCAAATATATCCTCTAGCTATAAACTCTTCTTAAATTTTAATAGTTTTTATTTATTTATAGAATGATTGTTTCCAAAACAAACCAACGCTCTTTGAAGGAAAACAGAATCAACAACACAGAGGCATACACCAAACACTATTAACCATAACCAAGAAACGGGAAGGATTATTTTAGGAATTTAAAATCTAGCAGAAGAGGGTAAATCAACTCTTGTTGTATATACACGGCAGTTCAGGCGGTGTTCTTCTGACTTCCTGGGAATTCTCGTGATTTAGAGTTTACAAAACATTTTCAGGAATTTCTGATTCCCTTAGTAACTGGGAGTTAGGCCAGGGAGATACCATCTATCAAAAAGGAAAGCACCATGGCTAAAAGTTAAGCAGCTGGCTTAACATCCCACGGCCAGAAGGCAGAGTCAGGACTTAAACATGCAGACATGTCTATTGTGTATTTTCAAATTCTTACATCAAATTCTTACTACGTGCAAAACACAGCATTAGGCTAGGGAAGCTAGGAGACAAAGAAGGATATGGTGTGGTTTCTATACTTTAAAAGAGTCTTTTTTTTTTAAAGCTCAGTTCTATTGAGGTATAACCAACAAATAAAATTCTAAGGCATTTAAAGTATA